CTATTATTGGGGGGCTTGCTTCACCTTACTAAGGCAAAGACACCGTTTCAGCGGGTGGTTCTCCTATTTTCCGGTTCGACAGATCAATCCTAGATGATAAAATGACAACTCCTCTAATTCCGAAATCCGACCTTTCCTGGCTGGTTGTTGGTTACTTCCTCGGTACCACTCCTTAGAAGGGAGGGACAGCCCAACACACCCCAGGTCAATGTTGGTCAATTCCATAGACTGACTCATAGATCAATTCTTTGTTGTTTAAGACGCTTTCTCACATCTAATTATGTTGTTAGAAGGGTTCTATTGACTGTCTAATTTGGGTCAATCTAAGTCCACTAACAACCATACAGTGGCTACTTCACTAATAATGGAGACAAAAATGGACTCATAAAACGGAAGATGGTACACATTCTAACACAATGTAGACTAAATCTGGACTCATTGGAACACATAACATAGCGCTAGGGGCATAACTAACATATTGAACGAATGTCATCGTACGGGGGTTGTAACCCTTTATGGCATCCAGTTGCATACTTAGGGGGCGGTTCAAGGTTATATTTGACGGTGTTCAGAGGGTAGGGACGGAGTTTATAATAGTAGGGGTCATTTTTCAACCCTAAACCTTAAATGTATACCTGAACCCTATCGTACGTTGAACAGATAAGACCGGATGCATCATTATGAGACTCCTAGATGTCATTCAATCTTTCAGTACTTGGGAACCTATCTTCACGGAAGAAATTGCTCCTTTAGCTGTCTAAAACATGCATAACGAAATATCTATTCATATGGACAATCAATGGACACAAGTAAAAACTAATCATTGTCATATACAGATATACGGTAATTACTCATTATAACATTAATCACCATTTGTAAAAAATAAAACAACATGTAGTCTTTTCTATTCGTTGTCCCCATGAAATTAGTCATCAACCTACTGTTAAGAGGGTTTAGGCTCTCCGATGTCAATAAAATCTGCAACATAATAAATTCCATCCTGCCTCTTCTTCTTAGGAGAATTAATGACTCTTCCGTATAATTCTAGAATAAACCTACGAGTGGAATACATCTTGATTTCCTTTTCATCGTTGCAGAGGCCTCCTTGCAATCTCTTGGAATAATAGTTCTCGTGGGATATACCTTCTCTTCTCCTAGAGGCAGTAACCAATTCTTGTCAAATTTTTCGCATCAGAGGAATTGAAGGATTCATTACTCTTCTTGTTCTCAATTTCTTCCTGACAATTATTTTCACTAACCTTCGAGGGGGAGATCTGATCTTCTGTTGTTTGGTCAGTTACTCTTTCCTGTTTTTTCTGATCCAGCCACATGCGGAAGGGGAATGTAATCTCTGGTTCCTTGAGTCGAAGACCCTTTTCTGTTACTTGGATACACATCAGACTGTTCAACTCATTCTTTGTTAGTTTTGGGAGTTGATTCCTTGTCTGGGAATTCTTTGGCTTCCTGGGGTTCCTGGTAGAGATAGTTTTAATTTCCTTTTTCGGACTCATTATCTCCTGCTATTGGAAGATTTGAAATAACACTAATTGGGTTAAACACTTCCTCTCTTGGTGCTTGTTTAAACACGTCTCTATTCGTAATTAATTGGAATGACACTAATTGCGTTAAACACTTCTTCCTTCAGGGGGGCTAAATATTTTCCTCGTCGTAATTAATTGGAATAACACTAATCACGTTAAACACTTTTTGTCTCCCGTCTCCTAAATCATTCCTATTCGATCATTATTTGGAATGACATGGAAGTGGGTAAACTGTCGTTTTGGGTGTTCTGTAAAATACCTCCTCCTCGCTAACTATCTAGATTGACACTAATCCGGTTAAACAAATTTTTCGTTGCGTTGTTAATTATCCTTCAACTGATAATTAATTTGAATGATATTAAATTGGGGAAACAGTTGTTTTTTATTTTTTGCAAAATATTGTTGTCTTGGTAATTATTCGGAATGACGTTGCATAAGTGCAACATACATCGTTGTTGGTGTGCAAAATAACGCACACATTCTAATTATTTGGAGTTACAATAATCGCGGAAAAAATTTCTCTTCTTTTTTTTCTTCCTTTCCTTTCGCACTGTAATTACTTTTAGTGAAACGAATGGGGTTGAATTCTCCTTCCTTTTCCATTACGTTAACTATTTTTTTGCCACGGAATTTCTTTTATGAGGTTAGGCGTTTGGAACATTAGTGCGTCTGGGTGCAAAATATTGCATTCTCTGGTAATTATTCAGAATGACACTAAATGGGGTGAACATTGGATGTCTTCGGATTCGTTTAATTATTTTTCTGCAAACGCATCTTAGGAATTACATTACCCCAGTGAATAATCCCCCTTCGATTGTGTGTGCAAAATATTGCCTTCTCTCGTAATTGTTCGTAATGACACTAAAGTGGTTGAACATCCGCTGTTTTCGGATGTGATTAATTATTTTTTAGCAACCGCATTTTTCGAATCACATTTCACCAGTGAATCATGCCCCTTCGTTCGTGTGTGCAAAATATTCCCTTTCCTGTTAATTATTCAGAATGACACTAAATGGGGGGAACATCCGCTGTTTTTATATTTTTTTAAATATTTTTCCGCAACCGCATTTTTGTTATCACATTACACCATTCATTCATCCCCTTTGGTTTGTGTGTGCAATATATTGTTTCCTCTAGTAAATATTCAGAATGACACTAAATGGGGGGAATATCATGTGTCTTCGGATTTGTTTAATTATTTTTCCGTAATCGCATTTTGGGAATGAGATTACACCAGTAAATCATTCCCCTTCGTCTTTGTGTGCAAAATGTTGCCTTGTCCTGTAATTATTCAAAATGACACGAAACGGTGGGAAGTTGTCTTCCTTCTGCAGTGTGTCAATTATTTCCTTGCACACACATTCTGGGAATGATATTACACGTGTGAATTTATTTTTCCTTTTCTTTTGGGCAAAATTTGTGCCCGTCTGGTAATTATTCTGAATGACAGTAATGGGGTGGAACATTCACTCTTTTTCCATTCGACCAATTATTTCCTTGCACACACATTTTTGGAATGACATTACACGTGTGAAACTATTTTCCCTGTTTCTGTGTGCAAAATATTACTTCCACGGGGAATTATTTCGAATGACACTAAAGGGGTGGAACATCTGTTCCTTCTCCAGTCTGTTAATTATTGCCTTGCACACACATTTTGGGAATGACATTACACGTGTGAAATTATTTTTCTTTTTTCTCTGGGGAAAATCTTGCTCCATCCTGTTATTATTCTGAATGACATTAAAGGCGTGGAACATTTGGTCGCTTGCCATTCTTTCAATTATTGCCTCGCACAGACATTTTGGGAATGACACTACACGTGTGAAATTATTCTTCCTTTCCCTGGGGGCAAAATTTGTCCCAGTCTGGTTATTATTCTGAATGACACTAAAGGGGTGGAACATTGGGTCGCTTGTTCTTCTTCCATTTATCTCCTTGCACACACATTTTGGGAATGACATTACACGTGTGAAATTATTCTTCCTTTTCCTGTGGGCAAAATATTGTCTTCCTTGTGAATTATTCTGATTGACAGTAATGGGGTGGAACATTCACTTTTTTTCCATTCCATCAATTATTTCCCTGCACACACATTTTTGGAATGACATTACATGTGTGAAACTATTTCCCCTGTTTCTGTGTTCAAAATATTACTTCCACCGGTAATTATTTCGAATGACAGTAAAGGGGTGGAATATTTTTCCTTTTTCCATTTTGTCAATTATTTCGCTGTACACACATTTCTGGAATGACATTACACGTGTGAAACTATCCTCCCTTTTTTGGTGTGCAAAATATTACATCCACCGATAATTATTCTGAAGGATTTTAAAGGAGTTGAACATGTGATTTCTTCGCTGCTTTATTATTTTTTTTGGCACCCGAATTCATGGAATTAATTTACATGGACGGAATAGTTGTCTGGTCATTTCTGGTTAATTTGGCTTTTTGGGGAATATTTGCAATAAGATTAGACTTCCTGATCAGGCGTCTCTGCCTTGTTCGTTTCATTTTTCCTCGGAGTTGTCATGATTCATACGCGATTAAATCTGCACAAAACTCCCTCCAACTCTTGCTCATCATTCTGGCACCCTGAATTTTTCGGAATTAAATTAACCGTATGGTATATTGCCTCTTTGTTATTTGGTTAATTCTTCTTGGCCATCTTGATGTGTGTAATACAATTCATCGAGTCAATCATCATTGTGCCCCTTTCTTGGGTTAATGTCCGTCCCCAAACGATTCTATTGAATAAAAGCTTCCGCGCGAAACATTTCTCGCTCGTTTCTTACTTTCAATTAAGTTGCCCCTATGTTAGTGTTTGGAATAAAATTAAACGTAGGAAAAATTCTCACTTTCCATCTTCTTTTAACGAGTTTCTGCCTCGGGAAATTTTTCAACAATCTTAAAGCGGAGGAAACACTGATTTCTTCTGGCCATCTTAATTTTTCCGGCTACTGCAATATATGTAATAAAATTACCCGCGTGGAAAACTTCCTTTTTTTTTTTCTTGGGAATTATTTGGGCTATATCAATATATGTAATAAAATTACCCGGGTCGAAAACTCGCTTTTTTTGCTTTGGGGAATTATTTCTGCTATGGCAATATATGTAATGAAATTACCTGCGTGGAAAACTTGCCTTTTTCTTTTGGGGGAATTATTTTTGGTATAGCAATATATGTAATAAAATTAAAGGGGGGGAATGTTCCTTCCCTGCTTGTTTCTTTCATTACGATTTGCCACGATAATTTCTGAAACAATATTAATCAGGTTAAAGATCTTCGCTTTTCCGTTTGGGTTAACTATTTCCTGGGGTCAGGATTTTTTTAACATTACTAAAGAGATAATGGATCTTCTTCTTTTATTTGTTTGAAATATTTCTGGTCTTGTAAATTGTCATAATAAAATTAAGATGAGGAACCAGATGTTTCTTAGTTGGGAGTCAATTTATTTCTTACCTATAAACTTTTTGGATATTTTCAGTCGGCTGAAAAATGTTCGGTCCCTTTTCCTGCCAAATATTCCTATTCTACAAAAGCTTTCTAGTAAAATTCAAATTTCAATTACTCCTGCCTTTTCGGATTTTTCAGTGCTAAATAATCCGATACTTCTTCACTCCTGGTTTAACGTCATCCTGGGAGAACAGTATTTTTACTTTCTCTAGGATAATAGGCTTGGATATTACTCATCTAACCTTCCCTGTAACGTTAGGCGTGGGGGTCACCTGATTCTATCAAAATACCTATACAGCGAGTACGTAATGATTTCTTTATCACTTCGCCCTTTACATACACACTTGTTTATCGACAACACGCCACCATGACCATGTTAATAATTGGAAGTGGCAACATACAACACATGTAACAAATGATGAATTGATCTCTTGTGGGTGACCACTCAGATGGAGGTACTTCTATAGCCTACTTATAAGACAACACTCTAATGGGGGTACTTGTTCCATCCTACTAGGGAGGAAGACACGATGTCATAGGGGCTTTGTTTTCTTCTTCGAGGGGACGGACCAAAATAAATCGAAAGAACAACAACTCCTCTAACTCCGAAATGGAACTTCTCCGGTTTGTCCATGGGTTATTCTTTTCCTACCACTCCTTATAAGTTAAGGACATCCCAACACAGACCACGTCATAGAAGAGTGAGCCGAGTTTTTGATTCAGGAATCAATCGATATTAGACAAAGACGCTTCTTCACAGACAATTAAGGTGATAGAATGTCTCTATTCACTATCTCACTTGTGACAATGTATGTCCTCTAACAACCATACAGTGGTGGATTGACTAATAATTAACGGACAAGTAGACTAATAAAATGGAAGATGGTACACATTTTAACAAAATGTAGACTTAATCTGAACTCAGTCGAACACATGAAATATTGTTCGGGGCATAACTAACCTATCGAAGGAAGGTGATCCTTGGCTGGTCATAACCCCTTACTGCACCCAGACGCACATTTAGAGGGGGGGTTCAAGGCTTTAGGTGACGGTATCAACTTGTTTCTGTGAGCAGTTTATAACAGTATAGGTCATTTTTCAAACCTGAACCCTGACTCACACCTATATTCAGACTTCTCCAATACGCCTCCTCTTCATATTCTACGCCGGAATAGGAAGGACTGAAATATTGATCCTGTCTTGCTCTGAGCCTTTTGTGACACCATAGCTCACTTTTTCTATTTTCCTGATGACCCTCTTCGCTTTCCCTCGACCCCTCTGAGGGCCCCAAATTCTAAATATTCCATAGGCTCCGGCCACTCCTAGTAATACTACACCAAAGATACCAGCTACAATGCTCGGCACGAAGGCACCTCCTTCCTCTGAGCTTGATGGCCCTTGTTTTCCTCCAGACTCTGGTACCATTTTCTGTTCAGATCCCCCCCTGAAACCTGATACGCCATGATCTCCCTTTTGCCACTCTGTTGTATTGTTGCCTCTTTGGTTACTCGGGTATCCTGTTTCTGTCTTAGCTAAGTCCCTTCCACTTTTGGGGGCCCCTCTTGGGCTTCTGCTCTGACTTACTTCAACTTTATCCCTTCCCTGGCCGCCAGATTTTGAAACATTTGAGACCAGGGATTCGCCGGTCAGGTTTCTCTCGGCCTTCGAGACTGACATTTCTGACAACGGGCTTTTCGGCTTCGTATGCTCCTCTTGCTTGTTGACCTTCTCCCCACCTGCTTCGTCTTGATTCATTTCATGGGACTTTGATGCTCCTAATTCAGATCCCTGACTTTTTGACGAGGAGTGACACTGCTTCCTTCTACGCAATTCTTCATGTGGCCTCATCCATAAAATATCCTTTTCTGTTGTTGGCCTCGGGCATTTATCACACGAAAGATTCGCTTGGTGGATTCTACAATAGTACCAGTTGTGATTGAGAATTTCCTCGTGAGAATCTCTAACCCAGGGATCGATATAATAGTTTCCACAGTTGGGACATAAGGCACTCAGGGCCTTATAGACGGTGATTATCAAACTCATAGCTGCCTCTCCACAGGTTTCTCGTACGTTGTCCGGCTTGCATTCGGAGGTGCTGGTCTCAGCGGCGCTGCTTCCCCTACTAAACCAACTTTTCCACTGGTTTCGACTATTCATTAAACCCTTATCAACGCTCTGGCACATGCTACATCTATTTGGATATGAACTCCCGCCCTCACTCATTGAATCGATTAATCCAGTAACAATACAAACTACCACTATGAGAAGTTTTTTGCCGTGCTCAGTTTTTTCCCAGTCCTTAGTCTCAATTCCATTCTCTGTTAATACTGTATACCATTCCGGGCCTGTCCATATCCACTTCCTTTGTTCCTTAGGAGTCCCCACTAGTTGATTGCTCTGCAGCTTATCTATAATCTTATCTAATAGTTGACCCCAGGTTAAGCTGTTTTGGTCATTATCCTTAACCCCCGATTCTATATTGGGGTCGAATTCCCTCCCCCAGATGCCTGTTTCTGGCTCTATTAACACTTTATTTAACCATTCATTCAGCCCTTCCCATCTGGAGTTACCTTTTTTCAGTAAGGAAGGGTAACAATAGGGTATACGGTTAGTCGTAGAACAGTTCCCACTCGAGCTGTTTGCATATCCCCAAGATTTGTGATGCTTTCCCCAATCATCTAATCTCCACCCCACATTTAAGGCACTCTGCATGATTTCACTGCTGTTGTCCCTCTTCCAACTTCTGTACTCGGTCGACTGTTGCTCTAGAGGTGTGATTTTTGCGTCAACTTTCCTTTCCTACCTTATGCAAGGGGAGGCCGTTTGAGGTCCGTTCGAATTTATCTGAATGACCTTTTGATTCGGTCGATCTGAGAAAAATTTATTGGCATCTTCGGGCCTCGTCTTTGTTATCTGAAAAGGATTCTTATAGCACTCCCTCATCTGCTATAGGGACCCTGCGAAGAGCAATATATATTCAACTTGTCATGCTCAACGGTAGCTTTTCCTTTACGGATTGTACCCGTGCCTCCTTTGCTCTCAGTCCCTAAGCGGCTTTCTGTGACCTAGTTGTGAAGTTGTTCAGTTGGAGACTCCCCTTGTTACGTATTTCTTCACTCTCTCATGGAGTTTTGGGTTCTTGCACTATGGGGGTTCGGGGGGGGTGTTTAAGCGGGGGGTTGGTGTAGAGATACTTCGTTTGGTTCTTTTAATATTGCCTCCTTCTTAGCCTGTTTTCATCTTTTAATTCTTCTGGAGTCCATATCCCTCTTTCTTCCATCCATTTTTTGTGGTTTCCTGTGGGAATTGTACAAGAGCTTCACTCCCTCAGAGATTCGGGGATGGGCTTGCCTAACCCTAGATACTAATTGCCTTTTACCCTTTGGCCTCGGCTTTTGGCACGGATCCTGGTTTCTTCTGATTTCCTGTTATACAGAGTTAATAGTTAATTGGCGTCAGGATAGGTTCTGGCAAATACTGTTCTGTTGTTATATTATTAACTACGTTAATCTTCTCTTGCTATATTGATCTTCGTATCGAGGTACCCAGGCGCATGGCATCTTCTGGTTCAAGGACCTGGCTCGTTGTTTGGTTTTTAGCCTGGCTCTTGTTGATAGGAAGATACATCTTGTCATTCGTCATTATCTTTGACTCATCCTATCTGCTTCTCCTAAACCATAGATTACACCATTTTCTCGTATTTGAGTGTCCCCTCACTTTAGACCATAGGCTTAGTTGCTTCTGGGGGGGGGTAGATGGGACTGTTGTAATTTCAGAAATTTGTCCCTTAGGGTTTCGACTTTTGTGCTCCTGAGAGGGTCTTGGGGGGTGAGTCCACTCCTACTTACCCTAGTTCGTTTCCTTATTCAGCTGTTTCTTAGAGGGGGGTATGCTTAAGGTTTTCTTTTTATCCTTGTTTCGTTCTGTTTCTGGTGTTTATATTTTGCCCATTTCTTCAGCTCCGACTTATTTTGTGGCTTGCACACATTTGATCCCCCCCACTGCCTTTGTTTCTGCCTGTTGTGTTCTTGTGGATTCCTGAAGCTGCTTCGTTTTGCTTCTCCTTCGCCTCCAATTAGTTGCATAGTTGGTCTTTTACCAGAAACCTCCCTGCACTCAGAGCCTTCATTCCCCTTTAGGAAGACATGCCTTTAGTTTTTTCTTCCCCTTTTCCTTCTCACTAAATTGGAAGTTGTCTGGAGGTGTTTCCCTCCCCCTCCACCCACCTATACTGTACGACTCTCCTTCCTTGAGGGGGGGTGTCCATTTTTATGAATCGCATATTGATTGACTAGTCTCGGGAATAGGCTCAAGCACTAATAAGGCTCCCCCATCCAGGGTGAAGATGTTGGCGCCATTTTTCGGGGTTTTGACTCGACTTGAGTTTTTTTTCCTTTAGAGGTGATCATCTGTTACTTCTTATTTTTTTCTGGGGGGGCTACTTATCTTTATTCTTTAACCTTCCTCATTGGATTCCTTTTTTTTCTGCAAATGCCTCTTCAATTAGGGGACTCATATAATACCAGATACATTATTAAACAGGACTGGACACTTGTAGACCCCCCTTCTGAGGAGGTGGTTAGATTCCTCTTCATATATCTTTCCTTGCTTTATACTTAGATATACTGGCAGTTTATGTTACTATATGATTTTTTGGGTTCCTTTTTGGTTGTTGGTTTGCTCTAGATACTTCCCAATAGTATCTAATCTTTGATTATTCCTTGTTTCCTTCCATTATATAGGTGTGACTTAGTCATATCAATGTCTCGTAAGCTAGGAGTACTTGTTCTAATACATACAACACTTGGCGTGGCCCAGCTTCATCCAATACTTCCGCTCATTCCTGAGACGACTTATCAGATATATACTTCAGGGAGGCGTTTAAGACGATAAACTTTTATGTCAATGCCTCCCCCTGTGATTTCGGCAGTAATGGAGTTAAATTCATATCTTATCATTTCGGTACACTTTATTGAGAAATCTTAATACCTAGTTTTCTAATTTAAGCTACAATAAATATACGATATATTCCATAATTTTCAGGAGAATGTTTTTATCAGATCTGATTTATCCCTTTACAATGAATACTTGTCTAATTATTTTATAAGATAGAATTAGTCAGAACACTTTAAGGTCATTAGAGTTACATTCCTTAGGTTATCCTATATTGTCCAGAGATATCTCGCTTCTCCCTGTGCTGGAGTGTTGAACTATTAGAATAGCTCTTATAGTTCAACAGAAATTCAGACAAACTTATTTAAAAGTGCTATATAAATTTAGGTATAAAATCACAAGAAGCCATTATAGGATATTATATCTTAGTGAAGCCAACACAATAAACCCTCTTAAATTTTGTTGATTCTTTCTCTTTCTGATTCTTCCAGTATTCAGTACTATCTATATTACTCTTGCTCTGATTTACTATTATAAAGACTCATATATTTCCTATTCTACTTCATCTCTCATGTTATGCCGTTCATCCTCCTGTTACTACCTTGATACTTTGTCTGTCATATACGATCTTTATCTTATCCTTCTTCTTATAAGGTGTCTAGGGTTTGCACATTAAGAACACTCTCTGAGTTACTCACCCAGCTCCGTTATATGTATTACTCCTTTGGAAGGTATTCGTTATCAACTACTTGACACAGTCCCTCCATTTCATAATTTGTTGTAGAAGGGTGAACTGTCCAAATGACTTACCCTCATTCATCTGTCATTTTGATAATAGGACTTATTTCTCCCAATCTGTATATAATCAGGGACTATTGTTTGATTTACACCTGACTACATTTTATTTGACCGTTCCGGAAACACCCTAATATATAAGGCGTTCCTACTGATCACTTTACGAGAATACCATATTATCCTTAATGAGTCTTAATTAGTTGGAGTCATATGGTTACTTCCCTTTATTCAGTTCATTATTTCATCAGCAAGTGGCACTTTCTTCTACTACTATATAATCTATGCCTTAATATATACGACTATTACATCCATATTCTAATGCCATCTGTATCTTCTTGTCTTGTATTGCTCACTATCTATACTCCTCTATAAAAAATAATTATGCAATCGATTACTTAATTATTACTTATAAAGTAACTTGCTACATGTGGAATACCTTCCTTTTCATTGGAATGAATCATCCATTCTTGCACAACCCCTGATGCAAATTTACTCAATCTTCTATTTGTGCAATAGGGTGGGCGTATGTTTAGTTTAGCCTCCATTCTTGCCTACTTGATCTTGTAATTTTACTGCTAAATCTTCGTTCCCATAACATCTGCTGTGATTGGAATGATCCATGGTTCCCGTAAAAAGATTGAAATAACTGGGTTCATTTACTCACTTGCAGAGACCATTTCTGTAACGCCAGGTAACCATGATTCTTCGCACCTCTTCCTCCCTAAGGGTATCATGTTATTCATTTTTTTTATCCTGGTACTTATTACTGTACTGTATGTTGCCCCTACCCTGAATACTCCGTGTAACAATATCTGACTATTCATTCTACCATAGCTGTTAGTTCAAGACAAGAGAATGATAAATTTCCTTGAATCTGGGTTGCTATTCAGGCAGTTTGTTCTTTAAAGCCTGTTTGTCCCTTGTAAAAGGCACACAGAAATTGAGGTCTCTACTTTGGAATAAAAAAGCACCAAGAAAAAGAAAGTACGAAACCGGCGGATGAACACTCTTAAAATCCCCTACAGCCACATTTGAATAAAATTCTTTGCCCGACCCTCTAGTAGGGACAAAATATAATATCCTAATAGAGAGTAGTCGCATTGTGTATAATATTTACTGGCTTATACTAGGGTTAGTTTTACCCTCTATCGCATTTTCCCACAACATAGATAACTTCTGAGCACTTAATTATGCCCCTATTATTCCCATGTTTATATTCATATACATCCACATAGGCATATATATACAACCTTCATTCTTAGCTACATTTGAACTGGTCACAACCAACCTTTTACAGATTAGACCCTTATGTCCATATACCTCCCTCATGATATTTGAGGTGGAAGGCATTCCTACCACTCCTCCCTAATATATAGAGTTAGTCGTCCCCTTATCTAACATGCATAGAGACACCATCTTAAGTTAATGCTAAATATTGCCCGAATATATATATCCACATGGGGCATTATAAGCTCCTTAGGAGTAATCCCATTTTTTATGATTTCTAAACATATTTTTACGAAACAAGTCTTTCCTTTAGGTTCTTAAATTAGTCAGAACGAAATATTTATTCATATGGAAAATCAATGGACACAACTAAAAAATCATCACTGTCAGGTACAGATGGAATCTAGTTGTTCACTATAATATCAATCAGCACATGTATGAGATAAAACAGCAGGTACCCTCCTATATGCTCCCTTTTTATGACATCAGTCACGACCCTATTCCGAGGAGTGGGGAGATGTTCCATGTTGAAGAAAAGATGCAACATGATAAATCCTATCCTTCCTCTTCCTTTTAGGATAATTATTTCTTTATGGG